TCTGGATTTTTTTGTTATGTTGATTTAAAAATAAATAAAAATAGAGTATTCAGTGTTTCCAAAACCAGATCAGAGTTGTCCCTTGCTTTTCTGTCCTTCGTGTCCTGTCCTGGTGCACAGGGCACAGCAGGCTGGCCGGGACCTAACAGTGCTGTTCCAGGCTCATTGTGGTTAGGGTGGCTGCAATCCCCAGGACAACAGGGAAAAAGAGATCTTAAGGAGGGTGCTAAAAAGGGGAAAAAGATCTTAAGGAGGGTGCTAAAAAGGGGAAATGATGGTTTTAGTGACAAAGGGGGGGTCTTGATGCAACAGATTTGTTTTCGAAGGAGGCAGATTTTTCTAGGGAGACCAATACTTCCATGAAGGCTGTGCACATATGTTGCAGATATTAGATGGTAAGGAGGTATTTTGGATGCTGATGTGAAATCTTTCAATGTCCATTTATATCATCTTGCTGTCTTCCAGCAGGTGTCACTCTGAGCCGCTATATCCAACCCAGGAAAAAGGACGAAGGGGTTGCTGTAGGTTAGCCTTCGATATGTAGATATTATTGACCCAATTCCATCTGGTTTACTTCAGCATCATTAAGTTCCTTTAGGATGTTAATACATGATAGCCTAGCGTTGTCTTTTAATGTATGTTCACTTGACGGATTTATGGCAAAAAAAAAGTTGATGAGAAAAATAAATGTTGTTGATGTAAACTAACTGCAGGGTGGTGACTAATATGTATTGGACAGATGTCAAGATGCACTGCTCTAGATGGTTTTGAACTTCATAGCTTTCATTTGCAAGCAGTATTATATGATATAATTAAAAAAAACCACTAAACAGTTAAAATCTCTGTGGGGAATGGGGAGTTGTACAGTGTTTAGATGTGTGCAATACTAACTGAAAGAAAAAGCTAAAAAATGTCCCAAACTTACTCTCAAGACCTAAAAATAGTGTGTGTGTCGGGGGGGAAACCCTTACAGCACATGCTTTCCCCGCACTGTGTTCTTTTAAATTATACTAGGTATCTGTGCTTGTTTAGTTAAATTACTTGAAGTCTATTCATAATCATGGCATCCATAAACTGTGGCACTTCAGGAAGCCTTTCAGACCTTCAAGGCTCATGAAAATGATGCCTACAGAGTTGATTAAATTAATGCAAGATATAAACTCCTGTTGCTATAATAAATTTCAGTTCAACTGTAGTATTATATGAAAAATAGTGCAAGAGGTTTTTCTTGTTTGTTTGCCAAAATTGAAGATCATCTTAAAGGTAGTTTGGGGAGTGTTTTTGGCTTCATCACAATGAGCGTCCTTCTAAAGCTTGTTAGGTTAGCTGAGCACAATATCCCTATTAGCTTTGATTCAATATTCATTTTTCCATAGTCTAGCGAGAAGAAATACAAACCCATTCTAAGCAGCCAAAATGCTTTGATTTTTGTAGCTGCTCTTGAAGTTAGTACATGATGTCTCTCCCCTGTAGCAGAGAAAGCAAGTGCCAAAATATTACCTAATGATAACAAGGAAGTAACCGCTTTGGCATATGAAATATTTTTTCCTGTGCATGAGAGGAAGTAAATGCTATAAATTTTCCTGAACAAGTCTGTGTTTAATGTCAAGTGCAGAAGCTATTATTAATTAGTGGAGGGAAATACTAGTCTGCAGACAGGAATGAGGGGCACTTTACTGAGGTGTTGTGTACTGAAGTTTCAGGATCGAGCGTGTTTGCAGTCAGATTGATTAAGCGGTTGACTAAAAGTGTAGTGAGGCATATGTCCCAAGGGGATAACAGTCCATCTATTAACTATGAGATTTCATTATACTGTTTAATGACTCTCTGTGTCTTTGTGTAGAAGTTAGAGCCTGTGTTAACCCAGTGTCCCTTTATGTTCTACACATGGAGAGGTTTATGGCAGAGCAGTCCTAGTTGCACAGCCCACCACCATAATTTTCATCAGAGTATGGCTTCTAAAACACCTCCTCGGAGGTATAAGGAGCTGGGGGGAGAAGAAGGAGAAAGTGTTCTTTCCATTTCTTTAACACTGTAGTGTTGGACTTTCCGGATTTGAGGAGAAAGGAAGGAAAGGGCAAAAGGATGTGTAATAGGCTAAAGAAAGGGATTGTAGTGTAGGATAGAAGAGGCATATGTTAACATCCTCTAATATTTTTCAGGTCAGAGGATACGATTTCAAGGCAGACATCTGGAGCTTTGGGATCACTGCAATCGAACTGGCTACAGGGGCAGCTCCTTACCATAAATACCCGCCGATGAAGGTGAGCAGGTCTCCAGATACTTGCGCAAGATAAAGGATCAGTGTGTTCTGTGGGTGTTTTCAAGAATTTGGCCAGCATGCTTCATTGAAGAGTTTGTCTTCTCAACTTGCACTTGTGGATCATGATGTTCTTGGATTTGTCTGAAGTCACCTTTTAAAAATATGCCACTTAATCAGCATTATCTGAAACTGTGCGCAGTTCTTATCTAGATCCTGAGTCACGCCAGAGTCACCATTCTTGAGGAAAGTGCTGTGTGTTTTAATCCTGGAGCCTCTGAAGGCAGCAGATGTTTTTAGGGATATAAATAATGATTCAGAAAATGTTATCTGGCATCCAGTGATACTGGCATGGTGAGCCATTCCTTTTCCTGCGCTGATAATCCTTCTTGATACCTCTCAGAAATCCTGTTACCAGTTATTCAAAAGAACATCTTATTTTGTTTAATGCCAACACAGTCCTGTCAATCACCAAACCAGGGTAGGGCATTTCTGGAAAGTACCACATCAGTATGAAATAGCGTGGTATTGACAATATGAGTATTTTATTGAAGTTGAGGTGGAGGAAATGTTCTTGTTTTAACACTGACACTTCAAAAATCTTTTTTAAATATCTTGAATTTTGGATCGCCATATAGTTTGGCTAACTTTCCCTCCCTATTTTCTGACTCTTGAACCAGGAGCTGCTTCCAACATGCTTTTCTTTCAGGGAGTCTACATCTTAAAGTCAGCAGAGTTAACCCCATCAGTTGAGGTCTGAAGCATCCTGTCCTTCTACTGAGCTTTGATATCATCTTCCTTAGCCCCTGTCTCAATCACGAAACTGTTAGTCCCTTCTGCATTTCCCACCCTCTTGAAGGCCACTTTTCTGCTACTCCTGGGAGGCAATACTCCCTCGAATCGGACAGGAGAGGGTGGAGAGCCCTTTCTAATCTTTATGGTTAGACTAGTTACCTGGGATATGAGGCCTCTGGGTGCCAAGTCCCTCTATTGTAGCCATACCATGGAGCAAGCTTTCCTTTTCTGAGTCTTCTAACTGCTGGAGTGCTATGCAAGGTGGGTGTCACCTCTTTATGACTTGGGTGCATCTCTACCTCTCAAGTACAATAGCATTTGGGAATCCAATAGCTCCTAACTCATTAGAACAGGGACATCTGTGTATTGCTTTAAATGCCAGGACTTCACACTGGTTTAACTCTCATAGAACAGTATTAATTTTAAGATTTGTGTCATCTCTGTGCAGGGACTGTTGAGTAGCTGAGTGGTTTAGAAATGCCATTAAAGTTCGTACCGTATCAGTGACTGTGGCAGAGCAGCGAGGAGTTCAGGGAAATGTGTTGCTGATTTAGCTGTTGCTGTTTTCATTGATACTTCCTTCTGTGCTGTGCGGTAGCATTTTGCAGTAGCTTCTGCAAGCTATACTTCTGTTTATCATGTTTTGAATGCATGGGTTGTAGCTTTGAATACAAAGATCACCTATTTAGTATCGTGCGTTGTCATATGGTAGATAGAATTATGAGTCTCCAATTCTATTAGGTATGGGTTCCAGTCATGCAGCCTGCAAAAGACTTCTGTGTTTTATTTATTGTATGTAATTGTATTCAGTGCAGATTAATTTTGTCACGCAGCAAAATGACCCATGCATTAAGTGACCCTCCAAGGAGAGGGGAAGAAAGCAGGGAATTCTGTCATGAACTGTACAATTTCAACTAGATTGATGGGCTCTTGCTGCTTTGAGCAATATAGCTGTTGAAAGCTATTTAAATGATGTGCTATGTGCTGCTTCCTTTTCTAAAAATAGATATTCGTCTGTATGTAGGTGACAAGTGAAAATGGAAATGAGTAATTTTCTTCCTTTCCTTCAGAGTATCTGAGTGATGCAAGGGAAATAATCAGTTTGGCTTGATGGGTGCTTGTATGAGAAATGTCTTCACCTGCTGTCGCATTGGTACATGGAAGTGAACCCTCGTATTTTTTTATGTTGCCCTTCTGCTTTTACATTAATTTCTAGCTAAGAAACACCTGCAGGGAGATCTAAAGAGAGCCTTTGAATCAAATGCTTTGCACAACTGCTTATCTCAAAAGAGGAAGGCTGGCAGAAGTTCTGCTATGCTTATACCTTTAATCACACCAAACGGGCCTGAAAGCACATCCCGACCTTGTGTTTGGCCCACAGACTGCAGCATGGGCCAGGAGATGTGATGGAAAACAGTAGCATAGGCTGTTGGGTATAAATTAGCCTGACTTCTCAAGGAAAGGAAGTGGAGGTAACTCTCTCTAGATTCATGGAGGTAATTCTCTCTAGATCCTGTTGTACGAGTCTTGAACCTCTCAGCGGACAGTCAGAATTTGCAGAGGCATAAAGGTTTTGAAAATAATTGTTTCTATGAAGTTAGTGAATGTGGGAAGCAGAGGGAAGAGGAGAGACCCTGTAACTGCCTTGAGGAAGAGGTAGGTGAGTTTTTGCTGTCTGGTGAATGCGAGGAGACAGTCTAAATCGTTAGAAACTTCACTCTGAGCTCACGCTACCCTCAGAGAGCTGTTGTAATGAAACAGTCTTTGTTGACCCAGATGCTTGATGAAAATGCTTGTTGAAAATATGGTGTTCCCAAGATTGGTCTCTAACAACGGCCAAGAAAAATCTCATTGCCAACAGACATAACTCTTTCAGGTCTTAATGCTGACGCTACAAAATGATCCTCCGTCTTTGGAAACCGGTGTGCAAGATAAGGAGATGCTGAAGAAGTATGGGAAATCATTTAGGAAGATGATTTCATCATGCCTACAAAAAGACCCCGAGAAAAGGTAAGAACTCATAACACTAAAATAAATTTAAGAAAAAACAAATAAACAAACAAAACCCCCAAAACAAAACAAAAACCACAAAACTCGTTGTATTCCATATTTTTTAAAGAGGGTACACGCTCTGCCACTCCAGCCTTTCAGTCCCGATGAACGCAGCAATCTTGCTGTGTGGCAGCAAATTCTCTTGGCTGTCCTTATTTTTAAGGATAAATGTCCGGCATCGTGCCTGGCCAGGGCACACATCTCCCATTTGGGTTAATGAGAGTGCATCCCAGTCCACTGCGTGTGTAGTGCCATTCTCCCCCTTGCCACCTCCAGCAGGTGACTGCAGTTCATGTTTTGTTCCCAGTCAAAACTGCTCTGTGGTTATAAATTAGAAATTGCACCTTGGGCAATATGTGTTTGCTTGCGAAGCTTCATAAATAAACTTTTTAAAATTTGCCAGTGCAAAGAAGGCCTTCAGTGTAGTTTTGACTTGCTTAATTATAAGTAATATTTGCTTGGGGGGCGGGGGGGAAATCAGGAAAAACACTGACAAATTTTACCAACATGTTTTCATCAATACAGATTGCTTAAGTGACCTGACGACACTTTCAGTCTTCCTTGTAACAGTAGCTTGACTACTCATTGATGTTAGAAATACTATGAGGGGGTGGTGCGTATGTTGTGGTTCCCAGGGTAGCATTCTATCATTATGTTATGGCATTGTTCAAAGCTGCGTGAGGGTCTGGCTGTCTATGGCACTGTTTAAAACCCACAGCCTGTCACACAGGGGAACTCAGACGTGTTTCTGTGGACGACAGTCATAGCATTTGCCAGTCTCTGTAAAGCTGTTTAAAGGAGTGTTCATCCTGCATTAAAAATAGTGTTCCTTAAAATGCAAAAGTAAAGAAACAAGCATTCCCATAGATCAGTTTTTATACCTCTTAGTTTTCTTTTTTCCTCGGTAAGCAAACTAATTCTGGAGAGGGAGAAGTCCCTTCATAAAATCATAATAGTGAAGACATTTTTCAGTTCCCTCTTGTGATGGATCCAGGAACAAAGGCTTCTCGCACATCGTGAGAATGGGAGATCTCTCTTCTAACACTTGAAATGCTTAATGAATCCGGTGGAGTGCTTGATAAATGCTGATAGCAAGGCTTTTTCCCAGCATGATGTTTTTTCTCCTTTCTAAAGCATCTCCTATTCCTGCAGGTTAGAATGTGTGCTGATCAGAATTGAACATGATCACTTTGAATCATGGCATGTCCCTTCTCTCTTCTCAAGCACCGCTAACAGCCACTGTCATCATCCTGACTACGGGAGCAGGAGGCTGGCCCATAATGAGCAACTTGCAGATTCAGATATGCTTATGCATATTGTATGGGCTCTCAAAGAGGAGAATTTAGTGCAATTGCTTTTTAATTATTTTGGGGGCTCCCTTGCTATAAGGTGGATGATTTTTGTTAGAAAGCTCCTTCTAAACTGACCAAGGAATGTCTTTTACTTTACAGTGTTTATCCTAAAGTCTAACTTAAAGGGGAAAATAGTTTGTACTTGTTGCTTTTCTATTAGACAAAGGTTGATTGTCCTGCCTGTGTTTAATAGAACTAATTACACACATGTATAATCAAGTATCTCTGAAATAGCTCTGTTACTTGTACATGGCAAGTACTGCACTCCTGCTGGAGGTAATGATCTTTTGTTTCAATTTTGAGCAAATTGTTTCTGTGATCCTATCAAACTGGCTCTAAGAGACTCAAGTTCAGCATCAAAATGGGAGCAACTTCCTCCCCCCCGCCCCTGAGTTATTCATTGCTTTTGAACGGAATAGGCTTTGATCAGAATATACCGAGTGTTTAAAAGACTGCCGGTGTAAAAATCAGTTGGAATAGATTGACTGATTTTTAGGGGAATTGTGCAGGAGAAACCGATGCCCTTATGAGATGCCATGTTACAACAGGCTGCAGCATCCTGGAAGACTGTTGTGTTGAAAGGGAGCATTTATAATTGTTTTTTCTGCATCTGTTTTCATTGACAGACCGACAGCAGCAGAACTCTTAAGACACAAATTTTTCACGAAAGCAAAGGTAAGAAAACACTTCCTAAACTGATCTGTGCAGAGGCTGTGGAGTGGACTTTTCAGAAGTATGATAGGTATGGTGACAGCTTTATTGGCATGAGTGTGGGCTGTTTCACTTAGGGCCAGTGTAGCTGAATGAGTTGAATGGGTCATTGTGAACGACCAGAATGAAACCCCTCTTCTGTACCTCCTTGTGTATGCTGCTATTAAGAGAAATTATCTAGAAATTCTTGAGCATTTAAATGTCTTTCAGTGGCTTTTGGGGTTTTTTCTTCTCTTATAATGGTGCCATTCTGGCTGTGTCTCCAACCATAAAGTAAATGTAACTTATATTTTACTGAGCTGTATAATCAGTCTGTATGCAAAGCAGTGAATGAGGCCCACTGTGCAGAGGGCTACCTAAAACTGTTTCACCCTGTGTTGCCTTATGGAAAGTGAAGATCCTGTGATAAAAAATAGTAGGAAACTTTCATTTCTAGCTTTGAAGTGAACTGCCAGTGAGCATTTATGTAATTACTGCCTGGAGATTAGTGCATATGCAATGTGCAAGGTCTTGTTGGGGGAGACAGACAGAAATAATACAGGGGAGAATTTATATTTCCATGGGAATGAGGAAATGTTTTCTGTTTGCTTATTTTTTCTGTGACATGTTTGTGATCAAAATACATGAGTTTTATAGCAGAACACAGATTAAACTGTCAAAAAGATACCTGATACCTGGGATAGTACAGCGGCATCACCAATTAATCAAAGTAGTTTTCAGTGCCCAGATGATGATGCTTAAATGGAAGTGGCCACATCTAGGTATCTGTACAGGAGCTGGATGTCCTGTTAAAGTTGACAGAAATCTAACAAGTGCAACCAAGGAAGTCTAGAGAGTCATCCATTTTGTGAAATGTAGGAGTTTGCTTTAGGGCAAGTTTAATTGATGCCTGGGCTCTTGACAGTATTAACTAGGTTTTCATTGTCCATAATGGGATTTTAGGCAACTGAATAGTCTGTATCTGTACACTGGATGCACACTTGGTGTCCAAAGTGACAAGATGGTTTACACATTGCTGACCTTTCTCCGTCTGGTTATGCGAGTTCTGGTACATGTTATACTTTATTGTGTGTAAAATCTCCTTCATGCTTGCATTAAGCTGCTGCAGAGTAACATATTAGCATATGTGGTGATAGAAAATTAACATTATTGTAAATGAGGCAATACTTAAACCAGCACCAAAGTGAAAATGTGTGCCGGTTAACACTCGGTGTTAAATTACTTTCATACATCAGCCACTGCCAAACTGACAGCTGTAACTTGAGGACAGAAGAGTCCAACTTCTATACGTCTGTATTGAACCATATATTTAAATATAGTGTGTGTTAGTAAAAGTATATTTTGATAACACTGAGAGCCACTTACCAGGAAGTGACAGTATGTGTCTTGAGGCTCTCCATCCTACGTGCAAGAAACCATCACGGGCGAGTTCTGGGAGCACTTCATCGGCAGAGACGGCAGGGCTGTCCAACCCCACTCGTGTGGTGTGACGTACCCAGCCAGATCCCAGCGCTAATGCCAGGGTGCTTGCCTGGCCTGCTTTCTCTGCAGCCAGTAGTTTGGCTCTGTAGTCAAGCGGTTGGAAAATTGTATGCTCAGGAGCCCACATGTTAGCCAGTCTAGAGTAGCTTGCTGAAGAGGAAATTTAATAGTAAAGCATCACAGCAGTTTCCCAGTATTTACTCTGTTGTGATCACCGCATTTACTTCCTCTCTAAACGTCACGTGCTGTACAGTTTTTCAGCCACTCTAACTCCTGTTGCCCTAATTCTTGGGTCTCTTTACTCCAGCATACAGAGGTTCCTGCATCCTGGCCTGCCTGTCATCTGAGGCTTACCTTTGACAGTTGGACAGGCATAAATTTAGGGGCAAGATAAAGCCAAGTGGCTGGTTCCAGGTGGTGTAGTGTCTGCAAGTGGAAGAATGCCAAATGTCTCAGCAGGGTATCAGGTGCTGGGATATAATAAGTTATAAGCATTTCCCCAGTAAATCAGACGTAATAGTATACACCTCCTCGATTGTTAATTCCCTGTCACTTTGCATAGGGAAAGTGCCATCGCTAGCTTAAAAGGTATTTAGGGTGAAACATCACATACTGTAGTCCAAAGGAAGAAAGTGATTAATATCTTTGCGGGAATGGGGGTGAAACATGTAAAAGGCTTTCTGCTAGAAATAGCTTAACAGTTTCTTTATCGGAGACACTGAAGGAATCAAAGGACAATTTCAGCAATGCAAAAGTTTGGTGTTTTGTCTTTTGCAGAATAAAGAATTTTTACAAGAGAAGATGTTGCAGAGAGCACCAACAATCACTGAAAGATCCAAAAAGGTACTGAAAACCTCCTGGGCTCTTGCTGTTACAGTCATACTAGTTTTTTTGTGCTTGTGTTCACATTTTTAATGAGAGTTACTGTAGTACGGCATTTTCTAGATACACAGCTAGACATTTCAATAAAGTACTCAAGCGCCCTGGCAGATGATGCATCCTGAACATGCTCTTGTGCTATTTCTCCTAAAAAAGATCAACTGTAGAAACCGTCTGCTTGACATACCAGTTTTCTGTCTTTGTGCTGAGCAGGTCCGGAGAGTCCCAGGTTCCAGCGGACGTCTTCATAAAACTGAAGATGGTGGCTGGGAATGGAGTGATGATGAACTAGATGAAGAAAGTGAGGAAGGCAGAGCAGCAATTTCACAGCTCAGGGTGGGTCCTCAAACTCCAATAGCTTTACTGTCTCTGTTTTGTTTTCTAACTGTGGTATGTCTAAATATCTCTGGGAAGCATGTGGCCTTGTTGTAAGTATGATACACTGTGAGTTATAATCCCTCCCCTTGAGTTTGTAGCCAAACCAGAGAAAGCAGACTGAAGGCTGAAGAAATTGTATTGATCTCTTTTCTGTCGTCATTCTGGGGCACAGCTGGTCTCATTCAGGGATGCTGAGCATAATTGGGAACATGAATCCGGACGGTCTGCTCCCATTTCAGCATACTAATTCATTGAGTGAGGATATTCTCTTTGTTTTTAAGGGTGGTGACTGTTTGAGATGCCTTCTTCTGGAAGTGTCAGGAGAGGTTTTGTCCTACTGCCCTCTCCAGGATGGAGCTGAAATCAATAGGTCCTGTGCTTATGGCTGATACCTGAAACACAAAGGGCCTGGTTCTGTCCCCTCAGTTACACTGAGATCGATTAGTGCTAGTAGAAAATGTTACGGCATCCCTGAAGTCACAAGGAGTGATTGGTCTAGCACTTGAAAATCTTCAAGAAAGCACACACCACCCCCCCCAACATATACATGAAAAATCCCAAACCCAGACTAACCTTCAGAAACACAGAGGAGTAATGCAGAGTGATCAACTAAAAGATTACAATACATTTCCAGATTGTCTTCCCCCAGTAGTTAGCAGTGTGGATTTTGACTGTAATGGCTTGTCGGTTCCCTTTTCACTACAGAAGGTAGCTTGAAGTGGACTGTGTGTTTTAATCATTCTGTAATTGAATTGGTGAGACAGTGAAGGATTTTTAGAGGAAGCTTTTCAATATGAAAGGAAAAAAAAAAAGTAGTATTGGTTTGAAGCATTTATCCCTTTACAACTTTAGCTTCTCTCGTTTCTCTTTCATTGCTTTTTCTTCTATTGGTGTTCTGTATAGACACTTAAATATTAAATGCAAGATTTTGCCTCTTTTTGGCATCCTTTGAAATGCTTGGGTTTTTAAAGGCTGCTATTGATGTCGTAATTCCATACTTTGTGGCAACAACTATTGTGTCTTTTTAAAGAGCTTACTGTATCCAGCTTTGTATTACATGGTCAAGGAGGATCTCTTGGTACCAGGTGGATACTACTGAAATTCTTGATCCTTTATAAGCTGAAATCTTCTAAATTCCTTTTGTAGGTTAAAATATAACCAAATTTTAGGAGGGAATATTGTGAAAGACCCTAACTCTATTTCAGAGATTACTTAGAACTTGGTCTGTCATGTCTCTAAGCTCAGGATACTATGACTTAGCACTGTTTACTGTGTTTTGAACAGTACTTACTTGTTTCATTCCTGTTATGCAGAAAAGAGCAGATTGACACACATTTTTGTAAGCTCCTTTTCAAGCTAGTTTTTTTTTTTCTTGGAGCTTTGGCATATTTCTTATACTGCTGTCTGTTCTGATCTCTCTAATTTGGGCCGTGCTTGGTCTTTACTTCTAGGTCTCCCATATTCAAGAAACCTTTAGGATGGGTGTTGGAGCAGTAGATCACAATTCAGTTGCCTAAATGTAGATGTATATTGCCATTTTGGAGGCACCCCATGTAGATATAACACAGAACTTGGGAGACCTGTACCTTTCTGGAGGTCAGGAAGGGCACCATGTCATCTTAGAACTCACTACATGTCTGCTTAGGTGCTTGAATCCTGCCCTGGGAGTCTTTCCTGTGCACAGCTTTTGAGTAATTTTTTTCAGCCCGAAGATGAAGGATAGGAACGCCTGTGCACCTCTTGCATATGATCCCTTTTTGAGCAATCTTAAGACGTGTATTTAAATTGCCGATGTTTGCCACAAATATGGTGGTGTTATTGAGGACTAGTGTTAATCCTGTGTTTTGGCCATATTTCAAACACAGGGTTTAAATTTCACCTGCTTGTAATCCCTCTGCAATTTTAATTAAGTTGTAAGATAGAATAACTTACATTAACTAGGTGTTACCTTTTATTCCTGCCCGTGGCAGAGGGGTTGGACTAGATGGATCTTTAAAGGTCCTTTCCAACCCAAACCATTCTGTGATTCTGGCTGTACCCGCGTTTTATTGCTGTCAGCCTTAAAGTAAAAGAATGGCTTGCAGATTGACTTACTTTGCTAAAATACTTCAGTATTATCCTGCATAAAAGCTTCTACATAAATGTGAAGTGTTTGTATTTTTTGCTTGTCTCCACTCTACAGAAAAAATAAGGTGAATTTAATATGTACAAATGTGTATTTTACAAGTCTCTTGCTAGGACTGCACCTGAAAGCAGACATATATTTATTACAAACAACCAGAAATATCTGCCCAATTCATTAAATAAGCTGACTTGCTGGTGTTACCTTTTAGATATAAAGACATACTGAACTACTTTACTCTCGGTATTTAAAACCTTGAATTCAAATTAGAGCAATTGTGCTATGTGGGCTCTTAAATCATTCACTTTTGTTACTCAATAAATCTGTGCAGTGGCATGCGGTGTAATCACATTTCACTGGTTACTCACATCATCTCTGATTACACAAGCAAAAGTAAGTTAGAAATAATACATGTCAGCACATCCCCAAAGTCATAGAATCATAGAATCATAGAA